ATTGACTTACTTCCAACTTTTGACTTACTTACTATTGACTTAGTTCCAACTTTTGACTTAATTACTATTGACTTACTTCCAACTTTTGACTTACTTACTATTGACTTACTTCCAAGTTTTGACTTACTTACTATCGACTTACTTCCAACTTTTGACTTACCTACTATTGACTTACTTCCAACTTTTGACTTACTTACTATTGACTTACTTCCAACTTTTGACTTACTTACTATTGACTTACTTCCAACTTTTGACTTACTTACTATTGACTTACTTCCAACTTTTGACTTATTTACTATTGACTTACTTCCAACTTTTGACTTACTTACTATTAGCTTACTTCCAACTTTTGACTTACTTACCATTGACTTACTTCCATTTTTTGACATACTAACTATTGACTTACTTCCAACTTTTGACTTACTTACTATTGACTTAATTCCAACTTTTGACTTACTTACTATTGACTTACTTCCAACTTTTGACTTACTTACTATTGACTTACTTCCAACTTTTGACTTACTAACTATTGACTTACTTCCAACTTTTGACTTACTAACTATTGACTTACTTCCAACTTTTGACTTACTTACTATTGACTTAATTCCAACTTTTGACTTACTTACTATTGACTTACTTCCAACTTTTGACTTACTTATTATTGACTTACTTCCAACTTTTGACTTACTTACTATTGACTTACTTCCAACTTTTGACTTACTTACTATTGACTTACTTCCAACTTTTGACTTACTTACTATTGACTTACTTCCAACTTTTGACTTACTTACTATTGACTTACTTCCATTTTTTGACTTACTTACTATTGACTTACTTCCAACTTATGACTTACTAACTATTGACTCACTTCCAACTTTTGACTTACTTACTATTGACTTAATTCCAACTTTTGACTTACTTACTATTGACTTACTTCCAACTTTTGACTTACTTACTATTGACTTAATTCCAACTTTTGACTTACTTACTATTGATTACTTCCAATTTTTGACTTACTTACTATTGACTTACTTCCAACTTTTGACTTACTTACTTTTGACTTACTTCCAACTTTTGACTTACTTAGTATTGACTTACTTCCAACTTTTGACTAACTTACTATTGACTTACTTCCAACTTTTGACTTACTTACTATTGACTTACTTCCACAATTTGACTTACTTACTATTGACTTACTTCCAACTTTTGACTTACTTACTATTGACTTACTTCCAACTTTTGACTTACTTACTATTGACTTACTTCTAACTTTTGACTTGCCTACTATTGACTTACTTCCAACTTTTGACTTACTTCCAATTGACTTACTTCCAACTTTTGACTTACTTCCAATTGACTTACTTCCAACTTTTGACTTACTAACTTTTGACTTACTTCCAACTTTTGACTTACTAACTATTGACTTACTTCCAACTTTTGACTTACTTACTATTGACTTAATTCCAACTTTTGACTTACTTACTATTGATTTACTTCCAACTTTTGACTTACTTACTATCAACTTACTTCCAACTTTTAACTTACTTACTATTGACTTACTTCCAACTTTTGACTTACTTACTATTGACTTACTTCCAACTTTTGACTTACTTCCAATTGACTTACTTCCATTTTTTGACTTACTTCCAATTGACTTACTTCCAACTTTTGACTTATTAACTATTGACTTACTTCCAACTTTTGACTTACTTACTATTGACCTACTTCCAACTTTTGACTTACTTACTATTGACTTACTTCCAACTTTTGACTTACTTAATATTGACTTACTTCCAACTTTTGACTTACTTACTATTGACTTATTTCCAGCTTTTGACTTACTTACTATTGACTTACTTCCAACTTTTGACTTACTTACTATTGACTTACTTCCAACTTTTGACTTACTTACTATTGACTTTCTTCCAACTTTTGACTTACTTACTATTGACTTACTTCCAACTTTTGACTTACTTACTATTGACTTACTTCCAACTTTTGACTTACTTACTATTGACTTACTTCCAACTTTTGACTTACTTACTATTGACTTACTTCCAACTTTTGACTTACTTCCAATTGACTTACTTCCAACTTTTGACTTACTTCCAATTGACTTACTTCCAACTTTTGACTTACTAACTATTGACTTACTTACAACTTTTGACTTACTAACTTTTGACTTACTTCCAACTTTTGACTTACTTACTATTGACTTACTTCCAACTTTTGACTTACTTAATATTGACTTACTTCCAACTTTTGACTTACTTACTATTGACTTACTTCCAACTTTTGACTTACTTACTATTGACTTACTTCCAACTTTTGACTTACTAACTATTGACTTACTTCCAACTTTTGACTTACTTACTATTGACTTACTTCCAACTTTCGACTTACTTACTATTGACTTACTTCTAAAAATGCACACAGCATGAAACCACGTGAAAGTTCTAGACGCAAAAAACGGTCTTGAGTCGAAAAAAAGAGCTTCCCTCAACACAACACAGTATGGAATGTGGGGAGATAGTGCAAATGGACTATCCTCGACAGGGCTGTTAAGGCCTACTGAAAGCTCCTCTGCGAGCTGGGTAAAAGTTCGGTTTTGCCGACCCATTGAGCTTCTTGGCGCTTTTCTGTACAGACTCTCGTAACTGTGCGAGTTTGGTATGAGTTCGTATTTGCCGAACCACATAGCACCATGGTGACTTTTTGTCCACCCACTCGCAACAAGGAAAGATGGGTGTTTGTTGAGGTTTTGCCAGGTTAGCAACTTGCAATTTTGTTTGCAGACTCCTGCGACTGTGCCAGTTTGGTATATATTCAGACTTTGTCGATCCAGTTAGCGACCTAGTGTCTTTTTTCAGACTCTCGCAAATTGATTTGATTTTTTTTTGTTTTTTTTTTCATTGACTTAGAATTTAAAACTAACTAAACAAATGTTGTTCAGAAAAGATGTCCCGCCTCGCGTGTTACCCTTATGAATTTCTTTTTTAAATTTTCTGTTGTGTTTAACTGGATAAAAACATATTCCAATTTTTTTAACGACTGGTTCAATCATTGGAGCATCAACAATGTATACGAAAATTATAAAACAATAGGCTTTCTTACGGACAGACAATAAGGGATTTTCACTCAAAAAACATACAACTGGCCAGTTTTTGCATATGCATTTAAGATAATAGCAAATAAGATCTTGCAAGATAACCTCCCTTGGTCGAATAGGGAAAAACAGTGGTATTAATATGGTGTTGATTCTCGCTCTGTGCGATGACTCTTGAACTACCAGGCCCAGTAGAATTTGCAGCTTCGTTAAAATCTTGAAAATTTGTTCCGTTTTTCTACGGTTTGTTATTTAGCATTAAAATTGACCTTTTCCTGATCACTTCGAGATTTTCTCAAAACTTAGTACTACTTTAGTTTCTATAATAGTGAGTTCAATTTTTTTATTCTTTCAGTTTTTTGAATGGATGGAATTATGCAGTGAGATTTCTTTTAAAAAAAATTGAGCAAAATTTCATTTTCTGCTCTTAGAGTCAGGTTCTGCAAACTCTACTAATACTCCCAGCTAGCAGAATTCTACGGGACCTGTTTTGGAAGACTACAGCGAAGACAAGGCAACAAAACCGATATTTCAAACTTACCAGCTTAACCAAGATTATTTGAGGTCAGTCAATTCTACTTTTTGACTGGCTAAAATGAGAAACAATAAACTTAACTCAAAGAATGAAACTGATGAAGTGAAGTTAACTTAAATTTTAAAAAAAGCGCTATAAGACTAAATCACAACGAAACAGGGGTGGATTGAGAGGGGGAGGGTGCGGAGCGGACGCCTTTTTTTAAGGATTCGGCCAGGCGTGGATCTAGGAATTTCTCGAAGAGGGGCGGATTTTCAAAAAAAAAATGATTTTCTGAGCACTCCCAAACCATTATAAAGACCCTAATTTGATCAAGTTTTCTGCGCCGCAAGCAAATTTTTGAAAAAACAGGCCAAAAATGAAACGCACATAAAATGAGCAAAAAAAACTGGTATTTTTTCATTGCTTTCCTATTTTTATCTCCTGTTCGACTTAATCCTACAAACAAAAGCAAGAGACTTAATGCATTCGTGTTTGAAAGGTGACAGCCATTTTGAATAAATTGAACGGCTTCTATCAAATTAGAATTTAGTTGTAAAATTAGATTCAATTCTAGAATCACCGCCCTGATTTGTACGACTTAATTAAATTTTTCTGACATTACACACTAAGGAAAAATACTCTCAGCAAAAAAAAATATTGCAACTGTAAGCTCAAAGATCAGATTACGTGAAGTACACTGGCAATTTATTTTATGAAAAATGGCATCAGGGGCTGATTTGGGGGTTGGGGGGGACGCTCCTTTTCTCCTAAGAGATTCGACCCCCTGCCGACCCAAAGGGTCCCCCCTTTGAATATTTTAAGATACCCATTTTTGGCTGACGCACCCCTAAATTTTTCTAAAGGCGCCTCGGGCGCCAATATATACTAATTTTGAGGGGGGAGCGCGCGCCGGAAAAACGCAATTTAGTCAAAAACGCTTTCTTTTGCCTGTTTTTTCCAAACTTTTTTAGTACTTTGGGAGAACTCGAAAAATCAATTCGGTCGACTTAAAAAAAAAAGGTCGACAAAATTTTCGGAAATTTTTGAAATTCCGCCCCCCCCCCCATTTTTGAAATTTCGGCGCAGGCATTTTTTGATTTAAAAAAATCTAAAAGTGTCATTTTTGGGCGCTTTTTGGAAAATTTTGACCAATAAAATGTTTTTGCGCGCGCGCGTTCTCACCCCTCAAAATAGCCGAAAATGAAACTAGCCAATCAGAGTTCAGATTTCAGACAATGGGAAGAAGTATGTGCGAAATTCATTTAATTTTGATTGCCTAATGAACATTGATTGACCAGTTCCCTCTGTCACTTGGCCATTGTCAGAATAGCCCTCAATAGTATATTAAGAGTTCGTGAAGGGGTCACTGAAGCTTACCTGTGATTGGCTGTTGGCTTTTTCGGATGGTGACCAATAGTTGCCCTTTAATTGATTAATAAGGTTGAAATCTTCATGCAAGCTGGAGACCTACAAACAAAAACTGAAATTTGCAGAAATAAATTAAATTTTTGTCAACCTCTTTTCTCCGCTCAATTAATTTTCTGAGCACTTCTGGTACACAAAATGTAACAAAAATATAGATGTTAAAAAATGAGTTCATTTTTAGATTTTTTACAGATGGTTAAGGTAATAAAACGTGAATTTTAGGGCTTAGTTAATTTTTTTTCACTAGTTTTTGAAAGTGTTTGTGTAAATTTGAGCTTTTTTCCAGTTTTTCTTGATTCTAATAATTTTTCTTGCACTATACTAAAGCACACTGAATGCTTCATACCTTTTGGCTCACACTAAATTTATTAGTCAGAAAAGATAACGCCTCTTTTTTTGCGAATTGAGTTTTCTGAGGACATGTTTAAAAGATAATAACCTCGTCCAGAACATCCTGCCAAAAGGAGTCGAAGTCAGGAAAGCAACCCAGAAGGCTCGTAACGGCCGATTGGTCCTAAAAACAGACACGCAAAAGCTATCATCATTCTTCGTTTATCCACTTTACTTTTTATCATGTTAGCGGATTTAGGGTGGAGGATATTTATGTTTTCAGCAAAAACATACTCATAATAAACAAGGATAACCAATTACTGTGCTAATAGTCTTTTAAAAAAACAAAAAAACGTGTTGTGATAAAAAGATCTGAACAAAAAACTAAAATTTAGGCAAAGTCGAAACTCCTAATAAAATAAGCAATTTGGGCGACAGATTTTGAAAAAAAAAACAATTAGAAAAACAAAAAATTCATTAAAAAAAATAAACAAATTTTCAAAATTTTTGAATTTTTGAATTTTTTTATTCCCAAAATGGCGCCAGAAACACTCCAAAAAAATTTACTCGAGTAAAATTTAATTAAATTAGGAATAAAGTAAGCATAAAGAAAGCTACTGTAAGCCTGCTCACTCGCTTCACTCGATCGAACAAAAAGTCAAAAATTTGAAATCGTTTTTTATCGACACCTAGAAAAATTTTTCAATTTTTTTAAATGTCGTTTGAATCACGACTGAAATCGTTTTAATATGATATGTCGTTTTTTTCACTCCGATGATTATTTATGGTAGCTGATTTTGCGACAAAAAAACAAAAAAAAACGATTTTCAACAGCTTTGTCATTCAAACTCATGATATTAGTTGAAACTATTGGATATTCTGAATTGGTGTTGATGTGCAGCCCTTGTCCCCTAAAAATCTCAATCTATATACAAACAGACCAAGAATTTATATAAGTTCCTAGTATTATTTATTCTTGCGGGAAGAGCACCAATTTCATACTAAAAAATGTTAAGAATCAAACGTAAATGAGAGCTGTTTACACAAATTTTGTTTGAACTGATTGCAAAGGAGGATTTTGCTGGCTCTATAATGTACAGGAAAAGGAGTTTGAACACTTGCTTGTACTCCTTTTGAAAAATTACCCCCCAATTTGACTGTTTTCACACTTTCAGAATTGCGTAAAGCAATGATTAGATGTGCACGTTTCATCAACAGAGGTGTCAGTTTTGTCGAGAGTAATTTTTTTCTGTAACTCATGTCAAAAATCATGTCCTTTCTGCTAATCATAACAAATGGGACTTGAAATAAAAGAAGCAAAAAAGGTTAGTTTCTGTCAAAACTGCGTCGGGGATAACTTCATCATGAAATTAGCTCAAGTTTTGAAGTTTGATCTTTATTGTATGCTTCAACATCCTGAATGATGCAATCAATACTTAAAGGCCAAACTTTGAAGTGCATTATTTTCTATGCTTCCCAGTTTCGTCAGTCAGTACTAATCAGCACTGCTTCAGAACTAAACCAGTAATATGTTTTTCCCAGTACTGTTGAGGAGAAAAAAACAGAGAAATAAGAAATAACAGTGTGTCGCAGAACTAGAACAGTACTGTTGCAATAATGTTGGTTTTGTTTCTCTGTTGTTGTCCTGCTACAATAGTGCACGTATTTTCAATGTTTCTCTGAAACAGTACTGAAATCTCGATTCGATTCAAAGTTTTGTTACGTGTCATTACAATTTAAAAAAACATGAAAAAGGCGTTATATAACCACAAAAACACCAAAAACCTCCTGATGTGCCATTTAAAAAAACGTATAATAGTCTTGGCGTTGGTGACTACAAGCTTGAGCATCTGCTACATTTTTTGTTAAAATATAGTAAATTTTATGAAAAAGTTTAAACAAAAAATGTATTTTAAAATTTTTATGCATTCAGGTAAATTCAGCCAAAACCATATAAAAATACCATTTTTTCCTTGAAAAACTTGTAAGATTTGGCGTTGATAAATAAAAGGCTTGCGCAACTCCCTTTTTTGTGTGGAATTAAGGTAACTTTTGACAAAAAAAAATATAACAAAAAAAAAAACATTTTAAAAACTTTATTCAGGTCCCACAGCTATAAATTAGCTGAAGTTGGGCTAGCGTTGGTAATTAAAATGCTTTTGCAACTACAGTAGCTCAGAAACAGGGTAATTTTTCTTCAAAAAACAACTAACAATCAGCTCAAAGTTTATCGATATTTAGTTAATTTTTTTTTCAGATTGAAATAGCTTTGGTTGATTTTGTTCTTCGTTTTGATATATTTATTATTCTGAGATGGATCGATTGGAGGTTGTCGGCATTTTTAGAACCACAAAGAAGACTTTTAAAAATTGTAAAGCTACGTTTAATCGATCCCCCAAATGTTGTAGAACTGTAAGACAGTGTCTAGAAAAACTCTTCTCTGTTCTTAATAAACTTGTATTGCATTTTCAGCCAGTCAGGCCGGAGTAAACTTAAAACAATGTTTTTTTTCCAAAAAAATTAATGACATGAAATTATTTGAAATTTTTTTCAGATCATACTGCTACAGATCTCAGATATTTTTCACTCCGAGTTAAATTTTACGCCGAGTCTATTCCACCAACTCCTGAGGCCGAACACTTTACAACTAAGCAAATCAATCAGCATGAATCAATCAACTTCCAGCATCTACAAGATTGTGAATCATTTCAACAACTTTATGATACAATTTTAACAATATTACGATTTGAAACATTCTGTAATTTCTAATGAACAAAAAGTTTCTGTGTAAATTTTTAAGGTGAAAAAGCCATGTATTTCATTTATTAATTATTTTGTGTCAATTTTTCGTATCTATGCATTGTTTCTATGTTTCTCACCTTAAAAAGGTTTTTGTAATATATATTCAATTATCATATCTATGATTTGTAAGTGAATGAATAGATACGACACAGATGCGTTACGTAGATATCATAAAAACATAAGATCGATAGGTAATATGAAAAAAAATATATATCATTAGTCAAAACAATACATACATTTCTTTTTTTTAAACAGAGATGCATAAGTGTGTTCGAAAGTTTCAAAAAATAGATGTGATACCTAGTTACGATACGTAGGTATGATACAGAGATGCAATACGTAGGTACAATACATATTTACGAGTTAGGTACGGCAATTAGACGCGATACAGATACGATTTATTTAAATGATACGTAGATATGTTAAGTAGAAATTACATATAGACTTAATACAAAGATACAACAAGTAGATGCCATACCTAGTTAAGATACGTAGCTATGATGCTTATTTACGATATAAATAAAATTATTTTTTGTCATGGCTATAAGTGGGGGTTTTTGTTGTTGTTGTTGTTGTTTTTGTTGTTGTTGTTGTTGTTGTCGTTGTTGTTGTTGTTGTTGTTGTTGTTGTTGTTGTTGTTGTTGTTGTTGTTGTTGTTGTTGTTGTTGTTGTTGTTGTTGTTGTTGTTGTTGTTGTTGTTGTTGTTGTTGTTGTTGTTTTGTCGTTCTGTTTTAGATCACAACCTTTGATCGGAAGCAGGCGATCAAACACGTTGCACAAAGATGAAAATAGCAGGGATCCTGCTTAACGGTGATTATATTTTATGCGAATTGTCTTAACTTGAAAAGTTTGAAACAAATGTTAGGACATTTATATCGATTCGCGTTCCAAACTTTGGATTGGGCACTAAAAAGTTATACGTGTTGCATCGAAAATTTTACAGGAAACTTTTGGCTCTCGTGTTTTTGATAAAATCTGGTGCAACTAGATGCGTGGAGAATCAAAGGTTTTGCGGACACGTATTCGATTTTTTTGAAAAAAAAAGGTTCGAAGGCAACAACTGATGATGCTGAGACACAGGAAATGAGTCTGATTACAAAACACTACCCAAAATCGAAACCTGTTCAACAGTTTGAATTAATAACATAAGTCAACTGCTATATTTGGGAACATTGAGATCGCTTGAAAATAGTTGTTATGTGTCACTGTTTTAAATTCAATAATTCCAAGCTTTATTTGCAGTTTTTCGTGTCTTTTTTGCTGTTTTAGAGCTATTTTTGCAAATTTTCAGTGAGGAGGTAGTGCTGTTACAGTACTGATTTTTCTCCTTGACAGTGCTGTTTTTTTAAACTGTAATGTTTTCTTAATGTAAGAACGCTGCAAACGAACTGATCTTCACTGCAAGATCAACCCGGAATATACAACTTACACACAATCGAATAAAAATTCCTTGATGTGACCTCAACAGTGAAAACTTGTGCACAAAAAATTCTGTAAAATTCTACTCAGATCTTCTGAAAAACAATGTTCTCCAAAGAGCCGAGGAGCTTTCGAAAGTCCATAAAATTCAAGCACCCGTTCGGCTTTTTGGTTTTGCTCCAATGTTATCTGTGGACATCGAACGATTTTTTTTTTCAATTTAAAATCTTTCGTCAAAAACCGGACTCATATCTTAGTATTTACGATTAAAAATGATTGTTCATTCGTTATAACTTTGATTTTTAGTAACTATTTTGCAACAAAAAAGCAAAAAAAAACTCAGGTTTTTTGGCTTACATTTGCAGTTCACAAGCCATTCAGCATTTTTTCTTGCCAAAAAACACGCCTAGCTTGAAAAAAATGCCGCCTATAACTTTTTTTCTTGTTAATGCTCTAGTGGTGAAGGATCAAATGCGCGAAAAATAGGTCAGCCAATCATAATTCAGTGGTCTAAAGAAATAAGCGAAGAAATCAGTCAACAGTAGTCCATAAAAGCAATAAAATCACCAGTGATCGCTTATTTCTTTGGAATACTGAATTATGTTTGACTGACATACTTTTTGCGCGTCTGATCTTTCGCACATCAGACAATATCAGGAAAACGAATTTTGAGCGGCATCTTATTTTCAAATTAGGCCCCTTCCTTGACAAGAGAACTTTCTAAAAGTCGCTTTAACTGGCTGAAATGATGCAAAACAAAAAACCTGATTTAGTTTTTTGTTGCAAATTAGCTACTACAAATTGAAGTTATAACGAAAGAACAAAAGCTTTTCCTTGTAAATGCTAAGATATGAGGCCGGTTTTTGACAAAAAGTAGGTCCGTAGCGCATAATACTAGCACCATGTTTTCCGGAAACAACGAAAAAAATCCCAATCTTGAAATTTTTCTGAGCTGCTGAAAAA